AAAATTTAAACTTTCAGATAATGCACAAAACATTTATACTTAGCTTGCAATTCAAAATCAAATCCTTAAATATTCAATTAAATTACTAATAAAAATCAATTAAAATTTAATATTTTTGTAAAAAAAAACACAAAAGTTCACTGCCAAAAAATTACAGCTTTACAGCCACCTCTATATAACAATTCACTTTTTAAAAAATTTGACTTAAATCACAGTCATTAACATTTCGAAAAAAAATGTGTTATTAAAGTTTATTTCCAAGAATTCTTTTTATATGTTTGTAATATGTAGAATACAATACTGCATAAAAGTGGCAAAATATGAATAGTAAAAAATATATAAAACAGTGACATTGATTCTTATCTACTTTGTTAAACTTACTTCTAAATAAGAATGTATTGGATTCCGATATGAGAGAAAATGTACCGCAGATAAAGGGAACATCTTTTACTAAATCGTTTTATAGATAATTGAAAAAAATGTAATGATCATGGAATAGTTTCACGAATGCACAGGCTGTATAAATTAGTAGCCTGGAACCTAGTAAATCTACTTATATAATTATATCTTATATATTGTATATCTAATTTATTAGTCAGGGGTGTTGTAGAATCTGAAAGTTATAGAATATGATAGTTGTCGGAATCAGAATTGTAATTGTTGAATGTAGTAGGTATCATGAATTCAGATATTATTGGTTTGACGTTCGAAACAGAAATTGTATCGGGTTTGGGTGTCACGGAAACCAATTTTATCCGTTTTGTTATCAGAAACAAAGCAAGAGGATTTTGCTGACAGATTTGAAATGTAAGTTAAGAAAATCATTTACATTATTGTTACGATTTAATTTATCGTTATTTCTATAGGGGAAAACATAAGAATAAAACAAAACAGGTCATAATTATCGAGTTTATGGAAAAAATCCAGATATTTTAAGAGGATACACAAAACGTAATAAACGTAATTTAACACCTAAATGCGTTTTTATTCAGTCGATAATGTGATACAAATCTGTAAAGTAAGAATGTATGTATACAAGCATACAAGTAAATGCAAGCCAAATTTCACATGCGATTCCTTTCGTAGCTTTATGCTTCCAATAAAATAAAAGCTAAAATATCGGATCGTGTAAACATTACTAGACTTTATTCAGTATTTTAAATATATCAAACGCTTCCAAATTTATTCATTTGAGCATATGTAAAAACGAAAATCCAATCATTTTCTGTGACACTATTCTAAATCAGAACTGGTTTGCAATTCTGGCAACTACGCAAATCTGTCTTGGATTCCACAACACTCCTGAGTATTTATCTGTATTAAATTACTTCTTTAAACTCTAAGACGCGATGTAAAACTATCACCGAGCTAATATTTCTATTATAAATGCATGATGGGGAGTAAGAAGGTCAACAACTACGCTTAAATTTACTCTGTTCAATTATCGATGGTATATTCTGGCAGTTTTTCATACTTTAGTTTTGTTGGCTCGTGATCAGTATCAACAAGTAAAACTGTATGAGAGTAACCAACAGCAACCTGAGGTATTTTTATATTATCCATTTTGGGCACTTCCTTAGGGACAGTCGAAGACTTTTGGAATTCACCAAGGCCTAATTCTCCATAAGTTGGAGAAGCACCCCATGCGATTAAGGTATCGTCAGCAGAAATAATAATAGAAGTGTTTCCAGAACCAATGTCAGTGATGTTCCAGCCTTTAAACATAATATTGTCAATAAATTTTCCCAACAACACATCATATTGTGAACATTACCCGATAAATCCTGCACAGGTTTTGGGTACATGTTTGCTTCTCCAGTCTTTTTGTTTTGTCCAAATAAGAACAGGACACCTAGTTCATTGACAATGAGACTAAAAGTTGCACCACAGTATACATTACGGGCACCACGCCCTTGAGTGTCAAAATATTTAATTAAACGGGGTACCATTTCATCTTTTGGTTCAGCATGACCCAAACGACCAAAACCACCGAAACCCCAACTATACACGCGCTTTTTTGAGTCAATGGCGACCTGAAAAAAAAAAAAACATATATACCAAATTCACATTTTTACTTACTAAAACTGCTTCCGCTATGAGGCTGTAGGCATAATTTATAATGAACGTACCGAAGCAAAAACCCTTATTTTATTATATATTATATTTATATTTATATTTATTAATTGAAACTTAATAAGTCACTTGAAGTTAAAAAAAGAAAAACAAGAAAAGACGTTAACTTCGATTGTACCGAAGCTATAATACACTTCACATATACAAAAAATTCCATACACGAACCCTATTTTAATCGGTCTGAACATTTTTTTCGGGTATTGCACTGTTGCCTTGAACAGTAATCCATCCGTTCCCATGACAGTCAGTAACAGGAACATACCCGGATTTTTATCCGGCCAAGGACTGTCAACTCGGCACCATTCCTTGAAATTTCTTCACGAATATTTTCTGCCTCTACAACTACAACGATAATCTATACCAAAATTCGTGAAGTTATCTTGTCAAATATTGAACAATTTCATTAGAGGTTGTGTACTTAAGCAAAGCATGCCGAATTTTGTGAAGATATCTTGTCAAATAAAAAATTACTGGTTGTTGATGGATCATATTTTAGGGCGCTATATGCCATAGTGGTCCGATAATGGCGGTCCCAACAAAGGTGCAGCTTCATGGGAAGATAAGAAAGTGAGATGTCAGACCTCAAAAACTGAGGGACTAGTTTGTGTATATACAAACCCTGCTCAGGGTTTTAATATATATACAAGGGTGGACAAATCACAGTATGAACTTACTGCTTTACGTTAGTTAACAATACAACTTCTAACTTTTATTTTAATGATTATTTCTCACAATCAAGTTTTAATATTATTTAAAACATTCCTTCAAGTTCCAAATTAAACTTAATGTATACCGACATTTCTTTTCATTACTTAAAGACGTTGTTACACTCACCGTATGATTATTACCGCAAGCAAAGTCCACAATTTGAACATTGTCCACAGGTGTAACGTGTCCTTCCTTATTCTTCTCAATATATAATACAACCTTTTTAGGCGATGTTTCAAAGTGGAATGACAATTTGTTGGCATTAACAAAGTATTTTGCGTCTGTGTTATGTCCCAGCTGGCCATATTCAGGTAATCCAAAAGTATATAAATTACCTTTAATATCGAGAATCACCGAAAATTCAGCTCCACAACCAATTCTAATGATTGGAGATCCTTGATAATTTATCGGAGTTGGTTTATTTACCACCGGAAGTGTGTTTCCAATACCACATTGGCCAGACTTATTTTCCCCACAGGCGTAAACTGTACCTGTGTCAGTCAAAAAGAGGGAATGATGTCGACCACATGCTGCTTGGACGATATTAAATTTCTCCAATCCTGGAACCAAAGTAGGAATTTCACATATTTTTACATCGGACAAACCTAATTGTCCTGAAGGATTACGACCAAATGCTAGAGCCTTGCGATCCATATTAATAAGGAGTGTATGAGCGGAGCTTGGACCAGTTGCACAAAAGCGGTACTAAATATTGATAAAGATGAAAAAATAGTAATATGCTTTACGTTACTTTCACCAACCTTTTCATCAGAAAAACGATGAAAATTATAAAGATTGGGCCGCACTTTAACAACATTTTTTCGGTCACGTTTCCCGGTTAAGTCCCATGTTACCATTCCAGCAATCAATAATTTGCCCGGCGTCTTATCTAGAGATAAGAGAAGATCTTCGGGTAACTTGCTAGGCGGATCCAAATCATCATTGGGAATTAAAACTTCCACTTGATTTGAGGTAGATTGGACTTCGTCACTAGAAGCCTCACTAAAATCCTCTTCAATCTCCTGTTTTTTAGGGCGGCGCTTGTTAGGTCCATTACCACTTCCACCAGCTTTACGTTTCGCAGACATAGTTGAATATATCGCCTTTCGTAATTTTTCACAGGACTAGATTTCAAAATAGTAAAAATATGAGCACAATAATAATTTGTGTAACCATTCACATTTTAATATATTGTCCTAGTAAAGTTTAACTATTTTTTTTAAATCATTCATTCACAAATTAAAAATGATAATTTACATTTAGATACTTAATATGCTGCCACGAGCCGCCAATAACGCACACTAACACATACATATAGAAGATTAAAATAACTGATGTCTTTATTTCGCCTTATATATTTCAGTACATTCAAAATATTGCACATACTAAATAACAATGCATAACATAACTTACTTTTAACTCTTTTGTTTTTCCAAAGCTAAAGCCAAACTTTTGCTAAACTTTACCGAACAAAGTGACGCTACAACGAAAATTGTGCATCACCCTCTCAAACGTCGCTAATAACTTAGTGTTAACAACGCTATAATGTTTATCCCTAATTCAAATACAGGGTTGGGCAAATACAATTTCCAAACTTTACCTTTAAGAGGAATCTCGACAGGCAATTTAAAATTACTAAAATTCGGTATTGTCAGCAATATTGCCCATGGAGTCTGCACAATGCTAAAGTTTAGCACTTGATGTCTAAAGATGAAATGTCAATGCCCCGTGTTATATGTTTTGTTGCGTAAACTCTAAGTTAGCAAAGAAATATTCGAAATAATGGATTTCTGAATAAATTGTCTACCTTGTAACTCACTCTTGAGCTCGATCACTGGGTTGTTAATAGTCCAGTCATTATAGTAAGTTCACCTCGGAATTCAGATACCCAGCTGTAAGTCTGTAAATACTTGTATATTGACACCCTAAAAGTTGTCTCAAAACCTACATATGGTAGGGTGTACGCAACTCAACGAGCAGACTTGCAAGGGTAATTTTATAACTAATTTTCGACTACCGATTATTCTTAAAAATTTGTAATCAAACGCCATGGAGGAGGCACATGCTAAGGAAGTCAACAGATTCCAGGACGAGAGGAAGGAATACATGCTATAAGCTGAGACTGGCCACCACCAAAAGATTACCTAGAAATGACCGATAAAATGGAAGCCAAAAACGAAGAACATTCAATGAACTCTAGGGGTTATGAAGGGCAGATTGGGTAATTTAATATAACCCCACAACGAAAGAAACGTGCTATGATTAGTTAATCTGCGAATGGCTTGCAGCGTTTCCGCAAAATGTCTATCCGGAACAGTGTGGCGAACCACGAATACCAAAAACAATTAGAAACGACGAATAAATACCAAAACAACAGACACTGAATTTCGTAGTTGCCAGAATGTTCTAGAGAGAAGGAATTATTGTTAAAATCTACTATATAAGCTGCCAGACTGTGCAGCAAACACAGCTCTAATTTAGATGTTGGCCGTGTAAAGAGCATTCAGCTATAAGCAAAGTTGTAACCGAAATAACGAGTAATAAGTGTTAAGTTAATTGGACAGAAAAAAATAAGTGTATATCCATTACTCAATTTCAGGACTTAGTTATAGTTAGACCGATTTATCGAGAAATCCGTACATTATATTACTGTCTAAAAAGCCGACATAACTTTTATTTTCATAAAATATTATTTTCTATCCTTAATTGTTATCAAATTGTTTTATGTCAAGAAGTATATAAGTATATTATTCCAAAAATTTGTTGAACCTTGTAACCTTGTACCTTTTCTGCCCAGTATAATGTTATAGTGGTCCAATTAAACAATATTGTGGAGGAATGGGATGATAAACCGAATCGAAGCTACGATAAATTGCCGGAATCAAACTAGGCTAGTTCCCGAATGTTCTAGAGTCAAAGTTTGTTAAGTATCTGCTATATGAGGGCTACCGATTCCGCAGCACACACAGTTCTACGTTGAGTGTTGCCTATAAAGTGCCTATTAAGATATAAGTAAGAGTTGTAAGCTCGGTTAATAAGTAGTAAAACGTTAAATTGGTTAAATTAGAAATAAAGATAAGCACTATAGGCATTAAGTTGGCACTTTATTTATAGTCCAGTCATTAAGCTAATAGGTAAGATCTCGGAATTCAGATACCCACTGTAAGTCTCGTAAATACTTGTATATTGACACCTAAAAGTTGTCTCAAAACCACATATGGTAGGTGTACGCAAACTATTAAATTCAAGGTCAAGGTCACAAAATCGTTTTTGCGCTTTTTTAAATATCTCATTTCCTATGGGTTTTATGCTTTGGTATTTATTTATCAATATTTGTAATACGAAATCTCTACAAATGTTTAAAAATTTTTCATACGGTGAACTGTTTCGAGATAGAGGGCTTGGAGCGCGCGTCACAGCATCACTTCAGGTCAACCGGTGCCTCCGATCAAAAACGCGCCTATATCTATCGATAAATCAATATATAATAAATATTTCATTTTTATAAACTATTATATTATTATTTTATCATTTTTTCCTAACCTATCCACTTTTTATCAGTATTAATTTATTTAACAAACACAACCTGCCCATTAAATTGCAGATTGTTAATGAAAATATAGGAATTATATTTGAATTTAAACCTTATTAATATTAATAACTCTTACATGATAAAAAAAATAAACAAAATTTATTAAAAATATCATTCAATACATTATTTTTATTAAAAGTAAAAAATGGAATAAAGGGTACAAAACTACAATTTATAATTTTAATCATCTTTTCTTCATCGTCGTCTTCCGGCTGCTGGTAAATTTCAAACTGGTCTTCATTATCGTCTCACACATTTGTTTCAAGTTCTTCATGATTTCGGGGTCAAAGTCCTTCTTCTTAATGTCGCTTCTGATATGGTAGAGCATTGAGACAAGCTTGCCCATTACATTGCCACAGTAAAGAGCATTGCAAGCCCCTTTCTTGCATCCGCATCGCGAACCACAACCACTCTTGCAGTTGCAGAAATTGTATTTAGAAAATGTCTGGAGCAGGTGGTAAAATTGTCAGATAGGCTCAGAAAATCGTTTCGCATTGCCCAACCCCATACCTGGGGTTCCAATCATGCCCAACCAAGTTTGAACTTGATAATATACACGTTCGAAATGTTGATGAGCAGCTGCACTTGTTGGTGGAATATTTGAAAGCTGCACAGGTTTATTATTTTGTAGACTTGACGTTATGCATATAACGAAGATGATCGAGACTTTTCACAGATTTCGGAGCATTATAGACTGCCAATAAGGTTTGAGTTCCACTCTCTAATAATCTCTGGGCCGAACAATTTTCTTCCTCAAATGCTGCAGCTAGTTCATCCAAATTGGTCAGTTTCTCAAAAAAAAAAATGTTTTTTTTCCTTTAAAAGCGCAGAAGTTGTGGCACATCCACTTAATGCGTGCAGAAATAAAATATGTGGTTTGGATGAGATAATTATCAAAACTTTTAGTCGAGTATATCTCCGTTTTTACATTGCCTTTCCAACTTTTTAAAGAAAATTTCTTGTTCGTAAGACAGTGTACGCCCAATTAAAATGATGAGTAAATCAATATCTTGTCCTATTATTTACAAATTTACAGATTTTAAAGAAGATGCACTTAATTATTTTCTAATTAAAATGTCATTAGTGTTAATGGGAATAAAATTATAGTAAGATTTAAGTTTTTCCCTTCATTATTTTTTAATTTTAGGAAACGGTGATCAGTATTATTGAACAGATAAAGATTTAAGGCAATAAGAAAATGATAAAATATAATATAATAGTTAATAAAAATTGACAAATATTATAATCATTGATTTATCGATAGTTCATCAACTATATATGGCGCGTTTTTGATCGGAGGCACCGGTTGACCTGAAGTGATGCTGTGACCGCGCGCTCTAAGCCCTCTATCTCGAAAACGGTTCACCGTATGAAAAAATTTTTTAAACAAAATTTGTAGAGAATTTCGTATTCTACAATATTGATAATAAATACCAATAGCAAAAAACCCATAGGAAATGAGATATTTACAAAAAAAAAGTTTGTGACCTTGACCTTGAAATAATAGTTGCG